AGGAAAGCAGAGTGATGTGTGGAAAAGAGCAAAAGCTTAGGAAGAAGAGACCTGGGAAAGACTCTTCTGTTGATTTAGAAGATCAATTCTCTTGGCACCTTACTTCCTTGTTTATTGTCACCATCTCATAGTTGCATTTTTCAGAATTAGATAAAGAAGCCCTGGATATAGTGCTCTGTGAAGGCCACTTTCCTTCTTGAATGAAGGGCAGGTAGTAGGGAGGCCAGGGAGATACGCATGATTTGTACAATGATATTTCCTTTGCAATATTGACCAGGGCTAAACCAGTTGACTAAAATAGCTGGCATCTGAAAACCCCTCTAATTTCTAGATTCTGTAAGTTATTATAAAAACTGTAGAACTCAGTCATTTTGATTTAACAAATGTGGTGTGTACTGTATAGGGATGATGTATTTTGGGCTAATGAATATTGAGACTTTTTGAGAAAACGCACCCTGTATGACCATCTGAGCTGGTGACAGCAGTTGTGGGAATGTGTATGTGGGTGTTGAACTAAAAACTAGGTAGGTTTAACAGAGAGGACTTCATTTACTCACACATCTATTCATTACTATCACGTAGAGGTTTTTTGCCTTATCCTGTTTAAAGGGAAAGCCTCTGAAATACAGAAGTGTTGAAAAATATAATATTCACACCTGTGAATAATTATTGGAAGGCCACTATCTTGCTAGACATGGAGAATTTAGGTTGGCATAGTCAATGCTCCAGGTGTTAAAAAGTGATTAAGGGAGTTATCATTTGGCCCTAACATTTGGGTAGAAGAAAAGGCAAGAGATACGCTGTTTCCAAATGAGTCATTAGCTGACTTCTTTTCAAAAAGGTTCACCTTGCTTCTTAAATCTCACTTTTATGTCTAGATTATAAACTGCTCCTTTTAAACCCTGACCCCTGTCCCCCCCAAAAAGAAAAAAACTCCACAAACAAAAACAGAAAAAGAAAGAAATAGGGGAAAATGTGAGTAATGAGAATAATGTTAGTCCCATCCTCACCTACTGTTTTCAGAATGAGATTTTCTTTAATTAGCCGAAAAACATATCCAGGAAGCTTTTCTTCATGTAAAGATGCAGGTAGTTCCTCCTCAAACCGGGATTTGTACAGTAAATTTGGTACGGGATGAAGTATGTTCTCCTTTGGAAGACAAGGGGGACATTTCTAGATTACTTTAAGTTTGGCTCCCTGATGGTTCTCTGCCATCTGTCAACTCTTCTGTGGTTATTAAACAGTGATGGTGGAACAGGTAAGAAATAGTTAATGATTGTGCAATAGAGAAAATGCCACAAACTAAGACTTTGTCTTTTGATTCTTTCAGAAAAACTTATAAAAACAATGTTCATAATGAGTTGTTCCTCTAGGGCTTTAAATGGATTTCAAGAGCTTTCTTAAAAGGGCTATGTGTGTTTTAAATTTCTGCTTGCACTAAGGCAAAGCTTTGTTATATGGTGGTCACGGGCCTTGAAATGCCCGTCTCCCTCACTCTATTTTTGTGTTCATGTTTTTTCTTTATAAAGTAATAGCTTTCAAATCCCTTTATTTTTATTTCAGAAACCATTAATGCCTGTCAGCTGCCCGTGGGGGTATCATATAAATTCCCAAGTTTGCCATTCAAGGTCCTCCACTCTATGACCCCAATTTACTTTCCCTATTTGTCTGTCACTATTTTCCTGCATAAACCTTTCCATTCAACCAGGCAGAAGTGTACACAGCACCCCACAGGCCTTTTAGTTTTGCCTGTATTTCAGAAAGTCTCTCCCTTCCATCATGTGTGTCAGATGCTGGCCCTTCAACAAGACTGGACCTGGGTCCCTTGGCTAAGCTTCCTAGCCCAAGTACATGATCAATCCATGCTACGACCTTGCGTATGTCATCTGGGTCATTCAGGAACCATTTGGTGTCCACTGCCCCTTCATGTTTCATCTAGATCTACTTCATGGAACTCTGCCTGGGAAGTAAACTCTTTGGCAGTGGTGGTTTTATATTTGTTTCCTCACATTGAAAGATGTGCATGGTTGTTTGCATGTCTGTCAGTCACCTA